ACTTGAGTGACTCCTATGACTAATGTGATTGTAAGTCATAAAACATTAAGTTATGACACAATCAAATCAAAGCCAAGAAATTCATAGTTAGGGTGTAGGCTACATTCTTAACTCAAAACCAGAAAAGCAGCATTGCAGGGTAAACAAAAGGATGAAGTGTCAGCCCTCATTTTTCATTTTGGGGCTGTTATCAGTTTGTATCAATTTAAGCCTTTTTTAAATATGTAATTTCTTTGACTTATTCTTTTCCCCTCTAGGAACTAAAAATTACTCTGCTTTGAGGTCTGGAACCTGCCATACAATAAACACTACTTAATTGGGACATGCTTAATAGGGATGGCCACTTTAATGGGACATCTCCTAGGGAACCTATTTATGTTAATGGCGCTGAATGACAATGTTTCTTAAGTGGGGCAACAAAAAGAGAAAAACTCCACTTACCAGGGGTGCACTTAGCTCTTACCAGTTTGTAAATGTTCAACGAGGTGTTAAGTAGGTCTAAAATTCTGAGATTCCATCTTTTCATTCAAAAATGGAAGCTTAAAACATGTATATCATGGTGCAATGTAGTGTTAGTATTTGTATAGTGGCATTTAGTACAAAGAAAGGGACAGGCTGTTTTCAGTGATGCAGGAGACAGAAGTTCTCTTCTCCAAAGAGCTTTAGCGACCTTTTTCTCCAAGCAGGGAACTACCTGTAGGCTGGATTTTTCAGCGATTCATTGCAAAAGCTAGGAAAAAACCCATCTGTCCTAATTCTGAATGCTGTATTTTACCCTCTCACCCCAAATCTTTTCACTTCTGTAGTGTGAATAAAAAGAGGGAAGGTAAAAAAAAAAAAAAAAGAATAAAAATACGAAAGCTTCTTAAATCCCAGTGATCCAAAGATCTCTCAGAACAGACGTCTGAAGACTTCCAGGAACCTCCCAAAGCCTGTAAGCCATTTTGAAGGTTACTCTCTTCCTGAGATCTTTTGTGTTCTGTGGTCTCCTCTGAAAATATGTATACACGTTTCAGGGGGAACAAGAAACCATGTTAAGAAGTTGTCTTAAAAACAAAAATCCCGTCTTAGACGACAGCTATACAAATGTGGGGACTCTCCCCAGCAAACCAAGACATCTGATTATGCCATTGTATCCTGTTTGGCAAAGGAGAGAGTGAAGGAAAGTGATAGACATGAGGGGCAGATGGAGTTTGCCTAATGTGTCTGTTCTTTTCTTCGCTGCCTTTTCAATTTAAGAATGTAGCAAAATAGCAGCTGCTCATAATTTCATGAATCAAGAAGTATGTAAATTTCAGCTACAAAATTTGTTGCATAGTTAGACACACACACACAAAGAAGGAGGGGGGGGGAGGGAAAAAAGATCTTGCTTGCATCTACAACTTTCTTAATTCTGCATGCAAATGTAGCTTTCAGGCCTGGTTTTCCTCTCATTTCAGAGCGACCCAACACTGGCTCAGTCGGTTTCACTGTCCTCACGCAGGGCAAATGTTGTGGGTTCAGCTAGTCCCTGCTTGTTGCCCTGAGACCAGCATGGAAGGATGAGCCTGGCATAAAAGGCTCCTTTCATGCCCCTGAGCTACCATAGGGGTGTTATGCCATACCTCTGCTTCCAGACTGCAGATGGAGGTAAAGAGGAAAGGGGTTGTGATGGGAATGTCTCCCCAAACAGGAAAGAGCTGTGAACAGTTACCTGGGTATGCTGACAATGACTACAAACTGAAATAGAAATCACTCTCCTCCTATTTCAATCCCTAGCAGCCCCCAAATTAAAAGATGGAAAAAGTGACTAGAAATGTATCATCCAAATGTACGAAACACTGCTCAGAAGGAGCTGGGATCAGGGCCTCCATATACTATACAGCTGGTTCTAGTTTTCAGACAAGATTTACTAAACACATGTAAACCGTGCATATCTGTTTGAATACTTTTTGTGCAAATAACTTCCTCTGTGGTCAAGCTGTTCTCTCAGATCCAGGCTACAGATTTGTGCTTTATACTCACCACTTTTTTACCCTTGGATTTCCACCAGTTCACACTAAGAGTATGAAACTGTGAAGAAGGGAGCTGAGTTTGGCAGCAAAAGCTGGGAGAATTTACAGTGCAAAACACCGAGCAACCTCATGATAAAGGGCAGAAATCATCCCTGGCTTAGCTCCATCCCAGTCAGTGGGCCAGATCCTGAGCAGCTATAAACAGACACAATACTACAGTATTTCACAGGAGCTGCAACCGTTTATATCATCTGGCCCAACAGGCTCTTCTACAGATGCAACATTTCACCAGTCCTGGTGGGGTTTCTCCTGATTTATACCCCCTGAGCGAGCAAGCAGAGCTTTCTTCACCAATTAAAACTGCCCCCAAATTGTATCTGCTGAGTGTCAGGAATTCCAACTTTAAACACAAAGCAACAGCTGAAACTGAATATAAAGAAGCGGGAGGGCAGAGTTTTATGATCGATGTTTTATTGGAATCATATAAAGAAGAAAAGCATTTCACGTATTTCACGGAGGTATTTTATGTGCAAATTTAATATGAATCCTCTTCTTGTTAAACTGGTACATGATCTATGTACTTGAGTATATAAAACACCATATAGGACAGCTATGAACAAGTTTATTAAACCAGCTTGGGCTCCTGTTGACATCACCAACCACACAAGTGCTTGCTCAGGGTTGGTGTGATCTTATCAGTCTCTCCTTATATTTCAGGTTACCTACTTGTTCATTTTCCCTATATATCTTTCATTGTTACAAGAATTCAACTCATGGGCAGATCTCTAAGATAAATCTGCTTGTCTGTTTGGGGAATATGGCTCTAGTTCTAATTTTGCAGACTTCGTTCAGGCAATACTCCCTTTGACTTCAGGGATTTTTGCCTGAGTAATCCTTTCAGAATTGGACTCTCCATGATTTTCATTTACTTAACAACTTGGCATTACATCTGTAAAATATTAGCCCAGTAATGTGAAATATCAAATTAAGATTTATGCATTAATCTAATCTATATATGAAGCTTGATAGTCAGTTCTGCTACACTGCGTTATTGCAATTCCAGGCATTCTGTGCCATTTCACATTTACTCTGATGATGTAAGAGAAACAAAAAGGGAGGTTTGCAGATCAAACTGGGTAAGCCAGGGGTGTGAAAAGAAAGTCTGAAATTTTAAACAAAATAGGAAATAGATTCCCACTTTCGGATAAGCCACGTAGAGGTTTCTCCATCACATGCAGGGGAGCACACAACAAATTTCAATCTGAAATAAGAAAACAAGAAGTTATTAAAAGAGAAAAAACAGGTCCAAATAAATAACTGAACTGCAATGTATTCCCTAAAAATCCCTGAGAAAGACAAAACAATTGTTTCTTTTCTGTGTGACCATTGCAGACTGAACAGTAAAAAATGACTCTTTCATACGTGTTCATAAACTGCATTTATAAACACTTCCTGTAGCTAAATTGCATTGGTTTCCTCCAGGTTGGCTGCCCTTGAACATTTTGCTCCTTCTTGCAGTTTTTAATTCTTTTTTTATAGAATCCTTCCATGAAAGCAGGTCTTCTGCACATGGCTGTGGTTCAGCAGCCAGCCCCACGCAGTGGGGCAGCTAAGAACATGTTAAACTGAAGCTTTGTACGTACTTCAGTACTTCTAAACCCTGGATACTTGGAGACAACCCACCAATATGTTATTCTTCCACCTTACAGCCATTTCCTTCCCTTTGTGAATGATTTCAATTTGTTTTACTCTCACTGGGCCAAATCCAGATTGTTATTTGCAGCAAGAACACACGATTATTAGGCAATGGTTTACCCTAGCCCACACCCCTGGAAATTCATAGCGACCCCATCAATTCCCATATAATTTCTTTGGATTCTTATCAGGTTAAAGCCCAAATCCAGGATAATGCCAAGGAGATGCAAACAAGGGCCAACATATAAATGTGGAGAATCATGGGCAGAGTAAGACTGGATCTCTTTATTCCAGAGAAGAAGGTAATATTTGGAAATAGAAAATTACATGGATTTCCACACACCCCACACCCCCTCCCCCCCCCCCCAGCTTGGGAACTCCCAAACAGCAAATAGGAAATTATGCAAGGGGGGGGGGGGGGGATCAATTTATTTCACACATGCTCCTGAAGACATACTGTCTTGATATGTGAACCCAAGCACTTTGGTTCACTTGTGTGTGTTATGGCAGGCACCCAGTGTGCTCTCTTCAAAAAGGAGGTTCTCCACACTAAAATGTTTCCTGTGGGATACGGCCTCAGTTTTGCCAGTAAATGGCAGCTGTGGTGAACACAGGGCTTCCTCTGAGGGTGTCTATTTTCTTGCTTTCTCCATTAATCCAGAATTAGTGTTTCTCCTACCCTAGTATTCCCATGCAACAACCCCAAACACAGTTGTGTTTGCGGAAAATCACAGTTGTGCTAAGTCAGTCACAGTTGTGTTTCTAAGAAAAGATGTGCTTCCCAAAATGAAATCTCACATTCATTATTGGAAGAAGAACCACCTCAAACATCCTAAACATCACATATGATGATAAAGCCGGGTTCCTGGTTGCCCTGATGGCTCCAGCAAGCCACTTTAGCCTGTCCATGTGCCGGATTCAGGTGGTGGAAGCAGCATGCGATGGTATCGCCCCATCGCTGCACATACCTGTCTCTCCTCTCCTCTCCTCTCCTCTCCTCTCCTCTCCTCTCCTCTCCTCTCCTCTCCTCTCCTCTCCTCTCCTCTCCTCTCCTCTCCTCTCCTCTCCTCTCCTCTCCTCTCCTCTCCTCTCCTCTCCTCTCCTCTCCTCTCCTCTCCTCTCCTCCCTGCGTGTTGCAACAGGGCTGGAGCCGGCTGTGGCGATGCAGGCTATGGGCTGGTGACAGGCCATGACAAAGGGACCAAAAAGCCCAGCTGGAGGAAAGGAGCAGAGAGATCTTCCCTTCTTCCTTCCCCATGTGAAGTGTTTGCGATTGGAAAGTGAAAGAAAAACCTTTTTTCACTTTTCCAGGATAGCGTCAGCCTTGTACTTTATGGGCCTTATCTGGAATTGAATGAAAGAGAAACTGATAGGTGAGGGAGCAGCTCTTGAGCTGTTTTATTTATTTATTACTCTCCATCTCCTTCTTGCAGTTTCCCTGTTCTGCAGCCCATGAGATTCAAGTGCCATGAGATTTTTACCTCCCAGTGACCACTAGTATTTTACAGAATGAAGGAACTGGGGAAGAGTCAGTAAATTGTTTTGTGTCACCAAGAGCTCTGTGACACAAAACACAGCTCCCATCCCCAGCTACAGCCACTGAACCAGCTCTCCTGCCACAGGGGTGATAGCAGAATGCAATCATTCCAGCTGAGGTTCAGAAAGCAAAAAGATATTTAAAGTAATAATGATGGTTTCAGCCTCTTACTCTTAAGTAGTATGTGAAATACTGGACCTGGAGATTCTGCAGAAACTGTGAGAAAGGAGACATCCCCATTTCCGTCCCCTTGGCTGGGACAGTGGGTGGGAAAGCACAGCCGAAATAGATCCCTGAGGGAGCAGGGAAGGGGAGATGGGAAGAGCAAGAACCTGAAGTGAGGAAGTGGCTGCATGAAGTGGGTTATGAGACACATGATAGGAGTAGCAAGAGTTAAATCTCACAAAAAAATAATGTGCTAAAAACAAACCCCCAAGCCCCTAACAGAAACCAGTAGGAGGTAAAAAAAGATGTAAAAAAGAGGTAAAAAACAAGTGAAAGGTTCCAAGTGAGAAAAAAGGTGGGAGTTTTGCCTGAGAACATAACCTACTATCTTGTCTCCTAATCCTTTTAAAGGACAGAGAAGATAAATGCCCAAATCAACAGAACAGTGTAAAAGTTGGACACAAGAGTGCTACAGGGAGTGTGAGCCCTGCCCAGCCAAGAAAGGACCCAATGTGCCTCCCATCTGCGGCATCCTGTGTGTGGAGTGAAGGGAGACAAGGCAAGGACAGTGCTTGCAAATTACAACTGGTAGGAACCATACACTTCAATAAATTTGGTATGAAACTGTTCTTGAATGCCAGCTACAGGGACTGGATAACCTGAGAGATCCTTTCCTTCTCTAATTCTCTTGATTGCTTATGGGTACTGGTACTACTTATGTTGGCCAAAACATTGGCATGCATCTGGATAAAATTTACTTTAAGAAAAGCAGAAATGCTGCAAACATACTCAGTGTGGAAAGAATGACTCAGTTCATTGGGCACAGTGATATATTCATTCTTTAGGGGTCTTCAAGAACTCCTCCTGTACATGGTAAGAGATTACCACTACAATATCATCACATGTTTTTGTTGGTATGGGTTAATCCACAAATCCTCAAAGAAGATCTGTTGTGGGTTATGCTGGGTACTTATAAATGTCTTCAGAGTTAAACAGCAAGTAACCACACCACCCAAATTTACTTTGCTTTTAATTGTGGCTGTTTTCCCTGCCCTCTGTGAGAATTGCTTTCTTCTCTTCCACCTACCAGTGTGTATCTGTGGCTTTGCAGCAGTCACAGGATTTCACGCTTACATCATGTATGCCACCATCTACATGATTTGCACTAAAACTTTCCCAAATTACCAGAGAATGTGGGAATACCCATGTTGGTCCATCAGGCTGAGTCCCCTGTCTCTGCCAGTGACTGCAAATGGACACCCAGGGAAGAGTGGGCAGGCACATGGGACACTTCTCCCTGGTACTCTTCCAAGCAGTTTCTGCTCACGGGGCTTCCCGAACTCATACATATCATTGTGTCCATGTCTTGCAATCCCCTTGCAATTTATATGCTGCAAAACCTTTGGCTCTACAACAGATATAAATGAAACAGAATTGTAGTCAATGGCTATAACTGGGGAAAAAAGTTATCTGTGATTTGGAAGACATATATAGGTTTTGATCTTGATTTGGACTAAATCTCCCAGCAACATAAATTATCTGGCTGTCTCTGTTCTCTGCCATCCCTATGGAGTTCTCTATGCAATGGCATGGTGTAATAACGAGAGATGGAGCTTGCTTTGCTCTCAAATCTGGTTTAATAGTGAGCAGAATGACACCTTCACAGTGGAAAGGCTGGGATTTCAGAGCAAGACATTCCTTTCAGTGGGCACAGGCATGTGGAGCCAGGCAGCTGGGGACAAGAAGCAACTGAAGAAAATGTGAAGATGAGAGCCATGAAAGTGAGGAGGGAAGGGGCTGGACAAGGAGCAGAGATGGGAACAGATAAGGCTCCAGAAAAACTCTTCTGTGGGAACTGATAGAAATTTGGGAGTCACATTAAGTGAAAGAGAAGAAAACCCACGAATTTGTGGAGAAGAACCTCAAAGTTACAGCATTGCTGGGAGAAGCAGCACCTCATCTTTCAGTGTCCTGGCCAAGGAAATGAGCTAGAATTCCTAAGGCAAATAGAAGCTTAAGTATGGAAATTAAAATTGGACTTATGGTCCAAAATATCTTAATGAATGCAGACTGCTGCCCAGAGGAGCAGCTGTGACAATGAATTGATTCTGACAAGTTTGGGACCCTTGGAATAAAGGTCCATTCCGGACGATGACATGTGAAGCACAACAAGAGCAATTGCCATTGATGGTCCCATGTGCATAATTGTATCAGTGGGACTTTATGATACAGTGACATTAATAGGAAAGAAATTTTAATCAGGTATTTGCCTAATTCCTAAAATAGTGCAAGTATGACTATACCTGGGTGAAAATGAAACAGAAATCTGTACAACATACTTACAAGTATTTTGGCTGTAGCAAGCATTCCTGAAGCACTATTAGTTACTGCCGTCATCTGAGATTTAAACTTCAAACCCACTGTACTTACTTTTTCAGTACTCTATTAGTGCATGTTGAAAGAAGTTAGCATTTACACAGATCAAATCTAACCTTACGAAAACCCTTCTCAAATGAACAGATGAGGCTGATTTCTCAAAACATAATAATTCAAGGAAAACGTTCTTCTAACCATCTTGTTGCCAGGGTGCACACATTTTCCAAGATCCTTCTTCCGTCTTTCCCAGGTACGTTTCAGCAGGAGCACAAAGCAAATTATCACTTGCTCCGAGGAGCTCTGTACCCTGCAGGATCTTTGCAGAATCCAGCTCGAAGAAATACAGCACTTTGAGAAAACAGAGCTGTCAAACAAGATTTCCTTGGGCTTGCTGCCACACAAAATGGCAAATAAGGGACTCGATCCTGCACAGAAGACAATAGGAATTATAGGTGCTCAGCGTCTGTCTTCCAGCAGAGTTAGGGCTTCTCAGCACTTCCTAAAATCAGCTGTACTGTTTATACTTATCTAAATTGTATAGCTAAAAGCTTTGGTATCTAGCCACAGAGCTTTCATTTCAAACTGGCAATAACGTGAAAAGATGTAACTCCTGCAAAAAAACCAAACTACAATAATGTTAAAAATATCATAAAATATTATTTATATCAGGCTACATTTGTTACCCCATCTGACAATCATTCTTATTTCTTGACAGATATAAACCTCCGCTTAACACATTAGTATCATAAATATTACCAGATATAACACTGTAATTTAATACCTACCAAATGCATTTTAAAATATTACTCAATTTAAAACTTTGGATTTTAACCAGATGTGTTTCCAGAAAATGATTCAGGTCAGATGCTTTTTTTTCCCCTTTGCCTTTTTGTGTGTGTGCGTTCAAAGCAGAGCATTACTATGTGATTTATTGTACTACGACTGTATGCCCCAAACCTAAAACAGCACTGCGATACTTCATCCTTGAGGCTTACACACCTGCAGTCCAAACTAACAAGAGAAAACATCTACATGGCACGGCAGGAGTCTTTGAAATGTCTTTTTGCAGTTGCCTGGACACAGAACAGACTGGTAGAGCAGGGAGGCAGCGGAGAAAGGGTGAAGACAGGAACTCCAGCCTCTTTCATCTAGAAAGGGGGGACCATGGAGAGATTAGAGGAAAGGATTTTGATTAGATCACTGGAATGTGAAACGATGCTTCCCAGGATTAAAATCCTATTTTAGAGCTACCAAACCGGTTACGTTGTTAGTCAGAATTTGGAGGCTCACGCAGCTCCATCCCTGCAGATGGCTGTCACTCGGCAGCACCCGATACCCTCTCGTTACAGCCAGGGCATCCCAGCCGGGCACCCCACACCTCCCCATGTCACCCCAGTGTGGACACACAGCCACCATCCCAGTAAAGAGCTGCTCTCCCTCCATGCATTGCACTTCTGGAGGACAAGAGGTTTCCTTTTCAAAAGGCATCCGTGGTCCAGCCCCACTGATTCCAACCTCCTTGAGCGCCCAGGTGGAGGCCCGACATTCCCATCACCGAATGCCATTAGTTTTATTCCCAATACAGGCAACTAACAATTTGAAGGGTTATAGTTGTCAGGCTGATCATTACATGAAACCCATTAACATAAAACCTGCCATTGCAATTAGTATCTTTGTAAGCAGCAGCCTCAGCAAAAAGTGGAAATGGAGGCTGAAATGATGGTGCTCCTCCAAATGAGGATGGCGGCAGATTGGGAAATAATCTGTGGCAATCGCTGTGCCGTAACTTCTCTAGCGATAGACACAGCCATTTCCAAGGAGTCAACCCACTGACTTGAGTGAGCACTAAATTCACTTCATCAAATATAATCTAAGGAAGAAAAAAACCCTGTACAATCGCTCATTTACCCTTCCCCAGAGGAAGACAGATTTTCCTTTTAGAGATGAGAACAGGGAAAGTTGCTGTATTTGGGAAAATCGCGCACAGCTCATTGATATCAGGGGGGGACGGGTACAAACCGTGGGTCTGCCCGTTTCCCAGGGAAAATAAGGAATTATTTGCTAGGGTGAGGTGTTGGAGTGCACTGGTGCGGTTTGTTAAGAGATGAGCCTGGCTAAGTGCGCTATGCTCTTCAGGAAGGGAGCAAGGCAAACGTCCGTATTTATAGCACCGTTATTGTTTAGAACAACACAAGTTATTTCATCCTTTAATCTCCGTTTCTATGGCTATCCATAGCCGCGTTTTGATTCTCCGACCTCCCTGCGGGTCTCCCCCGGCCCGTCACTCACTGCCCGCCGGCGGTTCGACAAACGCCGTTACCGGCGGGGTCGCGGAGAACGCGGCTGCTTTGAACGCACTTTGGTGGCTGCCGTGTCCCTAAACTCTGCCGCCCACCTCATTCCAGACCGCGGCGCCCCCAGAGCCCCCCCCCACCCCAGGTCCGCGGAACCATTTGCGGGAGCGATGCTCCGCGGCCAGCCCCGCACAGGCGGCACCGGGGGCGGGGGGGGGCTCCGCACCGAGGGCAATGACACCCCCCCACCCCCGGTATGACCGCACACGGCGGGGGGGGGGGGGAAGAGGGGGGGGCGTCCTCCCTGTGCGCGCGCGGCCGCGGCTCCCCCTCCGCCCCCCCTCACCCCCCCCCCCGCGAGCTCAGGGGCTGAGTCCGTGTTCCGGGCGGGCGCAGGCTCCAGGCCGGGATTTGGGCGCTCCCCGCCCGCCTCCCTCCCCCTTGCCCCCCCGCCCCTCCTCCCCCCGCCCGGCTGGCTCCCTCCCTCCCTCCCTCCCTCCTCCCCCTCCCTCCCGGCTCCCAACTCCAGCCCCTCTCTCTCGATCAGCCGCTCACTCTGTCTCAATATGTCTCAAGATGGCGGCCAATGTGGGATCGATGTTTCAATATTGGAAGCGCTTTGATTTACAGCAGCTGCAGGTCAGGCTCTCCCGCTCGCCGCACCGGCCGGGCCGCGCCGCCGGACCCCCCCCTTCCCTCGCTCCTTCCCTTCTCCGCCTTCCCTCGGGCCCGGCCTCCCCCTCCTCCTCCCGCTGCCGGCCCGCGCCGCCTAAAGGGAACCCCCCGCTCCGCCCGGCCGCGGCGCTCCGCTCCCTCCGCCCTCCCCCTTCGCCATTGATTACCGGCCCCATCGGAAATTGATCCTCTTTGTTCAATTCATCGATCAGCCCAAGATGGCGCCGGAGCCGGCGCTGCTGGGGCCGCCGCCGCTTCGCCCGCTCCGTCCCGGGCTGCTCTCTTCCCCGCTTCCCGTTCCCCCCGGGCGGCCGGGGCCGTGCGGAGCGGCCGGGGCGGCAGGCGGCGGTGCTGTTGCTGCCGGCGGCCGCTCCTCTTCTCCCTCTCCTGCCCGCTTCCCTCCCCACCCGCCTGCCCCTTCCCGCCGCCGCTTCCTCGCCGCCTTTTCTCGCCGGGAGCCGGGGAAAGTTTACCGAGTGCCGGGACTTTGTGTGGGGGCGCAGGCAGCCGGCCGGGCTCGGCGTGCAAGCGCGGCGCGGCGGGGGCTGGGGGCGCTGTGGTGCCGGCCAGGCGGGCGCTCCCCCGCCGCTGCCCGGCCGCCGCCTCGCCGCGGGGTGCCGGCCCTCCGCCGCCCGCGGGCAGGGGGCTCCGGCCGCCGCTCTCCCGCCGCCCGCTGGCACCGCGCCGGGGCGAGGTGTGGGGGACGAGACACCGGGGGCGAGGGATGGAGCCGCTTAGGGGTCCTGCGGGGCGGGAGGGGGGCGAGCGCCTGGCCTGAGGAGGGCGGGGGGGGTGTGTTTGTGTGGGGGCTGTGCGGGAGGGTAGCGGCAGCGCCGTCCGGGTGGCCCCTGGAGCCGCCGCGGGGGGCTGGTGAGCGGCCGGCAGAGCGCCGGCGTATCCGGCTCGGCGGGGCACGGCACGGCCGGGCATCTCCCCGCGGCGCGGCGGCGGGAGGGCACGCTTACATAATTCACGGGCTCTCCGGCCTCTCCTCCTGCCCGGGATCTGACAGATGGGTGCGATACTGGTGCTGCACTGTGCTGCTCGTAACAGCACACAAGTCCTGTTTCCTCTCGGGGAAAGTCCTCGCAAACCGGTCTCCCTGCACCCCGCGGATGCGTGCCCGGGGGACGCTGCAGACCCAGCTACTTCGCGTTAATTGCTGGGGTCTAGATAAGGACAGGGCGGGCTGTGTGTGTGCGTGTGTTGGGGGGGGTGGTGGTAGTGGTGTTGTCAAACGATGAATTGGTGCTGCTCCCGCCGCTGAACGGGATTGCAACATGCGTGTTTCTCCCAGTTGATTGGCGCAGGAAGGCGCTGCCCTGCCTCTCCAACCCCTCCGGTGCCTCCCGTTTAAATAAATTGGCTCGAAAGCCGGCGGCTGCCCACCCTGGCCCCCTCCGAGGCGGCTCGGCGGTGCCCGGCCGGAGCCCCGCGGCAGCCGGGGGCAGGCGCGCTGATGCCGGGCAGAGCCGCGGCCCCGCCGGAGGTGAGGGGCTGCGGGCGGGTAGGGGGCCGGGGAGCGGGACCCGGCGGGACACACTGCCCTGCCCTGCCCTGCCCTCCCCTCGGCAGGGCTTGCGGAGGGCGAGCTAGCGGGAGCGATGCTAAAACACCCCAGCAACCCCAAAACGGGAAGTGCTGCGTAGGATTTGTAGAGGGAGGCTGGTCCCTTCTGACTTTCAGGTGCATTAGGAGGTGGGGTGAAGTAGCGTTTTGTTTAGGCTTTTCTTTCTTCTCCCTCCTTTGCCCCCCTTTCCGTGTTTTATTGTTTCTTTTAAAAGCTTTGGATTAAGGTAGACTTGGCTGAACTTTGCTAACTTGAAAGGGTTCTTAATAGTGACCCAGAATACCTACAGGAATAGAGAAAATGAGATCCAGATGTAGGATTGTATAAAATAAAATGGATTAAATTAAGATGTAGTTAAACAAGGTCTGACATCTTTAATTGCGGACTTTTGCTTTTGCCTCTGTGTCTGTGTGGTTGTACTTGCTTAGCGTAGGAAAATAAGCACTCCCAACGTCGCTGCAGTGGTGTTACCTTTGGGGGGAGAAGTCTAAATATTTCCTATAAAAGTAAAGCCTTCAGAAATGCTTATTGATTAAAACATATTACCCAAATGTATCTATCATGTAAATTAAATTCTGAAATGTAATGAACGCAGCCGAATGGCGTTTTGATAGATTGTGCTATTCCGTTTTTAGTAAAAAATAGCTCACTTTTATCATAATTTAATTTCTGTGCATATGGTAAAACCTGTTGTGGAGTACCACTGTGCAGACCTTAATCTCGTTGTGCAGGCTTGGTGTGACAGTGTGACTTGAACAGTTTGTAGGTTCTCCTTTGAAGCGCTCTGGTAACTTCAGGTGCTTGGAACAATATTCATTACCTGCTTTTGAGGACTTGTGGTTCTCTCTGCGTGTTGCGGATTGAGGCTGTTCACCTTTGGCAGGTTCACGGGGCAGCCCTTGTGCGGTGCAAAGTTTACTAACTCTGCACGCAGTCTGTGGTGAGTCCTGGAGTGACCAGGGAGGTGGAGGCTCCCTTCATCCATGTGCAGAATAGTTATTTGTTTCAAATTAGCTTTTTTTTTCTCTCCTGTCCGCCCATCTGCATGAAGAGGTAGTGTAATATTTACTCCCACTTGCAGATGAAGCAATATGCTATAAAAACTATCGTTACTGAGTATGAAGTTCAGTCTTACAGAGCTGTCCGTGCCTCCCTCCCCTGTCATTCATTTGTACCAACGTATTTGAAGTGTGGAATTACAGAAAATAAAAATGCTTTGCTCTGCACTTCCATTATCCTATTTCAGGACAAAACCCTGAGGGATTTGTGCTTAACACAGTTCCACCTGTGCCCTGTCAGCTCCAGCTCTTGCAGCTCCGGGTCTAGATGGTTTTGAAACTGTTGTTTTTCTGGTTGAGAAAGTTGGTAAAGGGCTGGGACTGTGCAGTCCCGTGTCGCCGGCAGCGGAGCGACATGCGCCCTGTCTGCTCGCAACTTCCTCTTCTGCTTTCTGTTAGAAGGTGGCGTTTAACTGTTGATGAGCTTCGACCTGCCTTGTAATATTAAGCAGCAGATTTCTCCAGATTGTATCGATATTAATTAAAAAGAGAGTCGGGAACACTTTAGGGTCTGACTTTTTAAATTCTTTATTTCCTTGCACTAAATAACCTCTTGTTTATAGGAAGAGAGATTTCAAGAGTTGGAGGCAGGGTTAAATAACTCAGAACTTGGATTAAAGAACAAAAAGGTCTGTTCACAAATGGAATACGAGATGCAAAACCAGCAGTTTCCTACAAGTATCAAACATGGCTCCTTGTTTGAGACATACCTGAAAGTCGTGCAGCTGGACACTTAACCCTTTTCTCTAGGAAAGGCTGCCTATATTTCCTAAAGAAACCGTGGAATTAGTATGGTGTTTCTGCATCAGTTTGCTGTGTGGTTGAAGGTGGACCTGTGTTTGATAACTAGTGGTGATGGAGTTGCAGTGCATAGAGGAGCCAGGTCCTTGCAAACAGTGAATATTGTGGCAATAAATGCAGATTAAATCGCCAGAGAAATGTTGCCTTGGAGTTAAAACTGCATCTCCTGTTTGGAAGCAACTGTGTGATCTGAATTGGGTTGATGTACGGCAGCATGGAGTTAACCTGCTGTTGTGTGGTCCTGTTTCAAGTTTGTAGTTCCTGGTGTCACTATCACCTTTGCCATAAAAACAGCCTTCAGCTGGAGAGCAGGAAAATAAGCATCATGTTCCCAAGACATGCAGTCCTCCTTAAGTTCTCGCTTCATATTCCTGAGTATCTGCTCGTACGTGTATCAGAGAAGCCAGTTGGTCCTGCAGTATCTTTTTGACCAGCAGTGTTGTATGTGTAAGTCTAGCTTGAGTCTCAGATCTAAGTTGAATCTGGAGGATGAATGGAAGAAGTTAATATCATTTGAAAACTTAAAGTATTGCTTGAGGTATTGGAACAATATAACACATTTCAAAATGTCATCGTAGCTTCTGAGGACAGGCACACATACTGGTAAAGAGTACAGCTTCTTACTGCTGTTGAGCAGGACAGCATAATCTGTTAACGTCAATGTAGGGAATGGAAATCTAAAGGTAGACCTTGCTCACACGCTTCTGGCTTTTAACATCTCATCCTGGTATTGCATCATGTAAAGTAAGGATGGAGTATTAGTTCTATGCGTGCCGTGACTAATTGTTTAAGGTAAACCATTATAAAATCTGTAACAGATTCTGGAAAAAGTGGTAATGAGGAGCTTTTAAATGCTGAATTGCTTCTGTTATTGAATTAGAAACAGGTGGAGTTGTTGGCATCTTTTAGTTGGATCTGATTGCACCACAGCACAAGCTGATCTGCTTTAAGTGAAGAAGTTAACATGCTTCATCAGAAGTGGAATTAGCAAGCGCATCTTAGCGTGTGGTTTTGTTTATCTGTGCAGCTTACTGTAGAACTTCTAGTTTCTATCCTGAAAATAGTGCTTTGCTATTTGTAATGGTAGTTTAATGTTCATCATGAGCCTCCCGCTACTGTAAACATGTTTCTGCTTCCCTCTACCTGATCAGTGATGTGTAGTGGAAGCAGCTTGGCAGTTGTGCAGGAAGATGCAATACAGGGAACTGGGAGAGATGTAAAAGCCATGGCACTGCTGCTCATATACTTTGATAGCTGTCATTGCTTCCCTGCAGCAGGAAGGCTTTGGCTTTTTGTGGTGGCCAGGGTGGTGGCCCTGAGTGTCCAACACACAATGACATACTGGAAGAAAGGCCCTTGATGTATTTCTGCCTCTAAAATTCACCTTTCTTAGGATTCCTTGAGTTCAGTTCCTTGGAAAGACATTTCTGAAAGCTTTTCTAGCCCTCTCCTGTTCTTCAGATGAAATAATGCCCATCTGAAACATGGCAGAGTTAGTGTGTGTTTCAGTCACTCTGCTCCTTTGCCAACTTTGTGGTTAATTGGATAATGCATTGAGAAATGTAGTAGCGAGGATTTTGGAATATGG